GGGGGGGGGGGGGGGGGCGGGAACTGTTGAGGGTTCAAGCACCTACTTTGTACTTCCAGTTGGAGCCAGGCAGAAAATGGAGTTGTCCAAACACGGCGCAGTGCACAGGGGCATCTCTGCCCTCTTGGTCAGGTCTCTGGACCCCACAAATCTCCCACGACTGTTGGTTATGCCTCATTCTAGCTGTTCTTCAAACAAGATAATGTCCCACAAGGCAAGGGTGGCTGAAACCTACCATGGCAAAACAACAGGGGCAGAGCAAGAAGCCCTCTGGGGCCCTGAGCCACCAACATGCTGCGCTTATCAGTCACAGCCATACCGCCTGCAGCTTGCTCTCTTCCATGTGGGGAGNGGGGGGGGGGGGGGGCGGGAACTGTTGAGGGTTCAAGCACCTACTTTGTACTTCCAGTTGGAGCCAGGCAGAAAATGGAGTTGTCCAAACACGGCGCAGTGCACAGGGGCATCTCTGCCCTCTTGGTCAGGTCTCTGGACCCCACAAATCTCCCACGACTGTTGGTTATGCCTCATTCTAGCTGTTCTTCAAACAAGATAATGTCCCACAAGGCAAGGGTGGCTGAAACCTACCATGGCAAAACAACAGGGGCAGAGCAAGAAGCCCTCTGGGGCCCTGAGCCACCAGCATGCTGCGCTTATCAGTCACAGCCATACCGCCTGCAGCTTGCTCTCTTCCATGTGGGGAGCCTGGGGTTGGAGTACAGTTTTGGGAGGAAGAAACAGGGAAGTTTTGCTACCAAGTGGCAGCTGTCTGGCCTGCAGGATACCCACAGGATGCCCGCCTGCTCTATCACAAAGCTCTCTGTGCCAGGAGATGCCACAGAAAGGAATGCTGTCCAGTCCCTCTAGCTCTGCCAGCCTGCTTCTCTGCCCTGCTGGCTTTCCCCCTCCACTGGCTGCCACTCAGGCCAGGAGCACCCTCTGCAGGCTCTGCGCAGGGCTGTACAAGCAGCCCTGGCAACAGAAGACCAAGCTGCAGGCTGGACTCCTATCCTTTCTTGGGGCCAGGGGAAGCCATCACTTGCTCAGATCTCTGAGGTCCCTGAGAAGGCTCCACCCAAGGCACTACTGAGCATGGGGTTGGAGGGACTCATTTACCTGATCACAGGCAAGAAGTATGGGTTTGGAAGAAGTTTGGTGAACCTGAGATAGAAAGACTGGAAAAATACAGAACTTTCAGCAGCCCCATTGGGATTCCCTGCCTTCCTCCCTCCAAACCTGAGAAGGTAAAGGGGAGAGGAGATGGCCTGCCCCAGAGCTCTCACTTTCCCCTGGAAACAGCTGGAACCACTTAGGCTCCCTTCAGAGCAATGGCCAGGGCACATGCCACATGGTCACCTGACGGCTGCTGGTTATATTGGGCATCAGGCGTCAGGCACTCCCTCAGCCTCACTTTAAATAGCCTGCTGGGAAGCCTGCCTGGGGATTTGCTGGAATGTCCCTCCTTCCTTTCTGAAGGACAAGACCCCTCAGCTCCCCTATGCTCCCCATTAAGGCTCCTTCTGCTCAGCCAAGACTTAAGCTTGAAATAGCAAAATATCAGCTTCAAAGAGGGTTCCTCTTCAGCTCCTGGGGGATAGAACAGCTGTACCCAACAGCTCCACCTCTGTTCAGTGTGGACCCCAGGGCTTGGCGAGGCTGGCCAAAGGTAGCTTGCTAATTCAGCTAGAAAGCTCTGGGTGCAAAGCTATGAAGCCATCCATATCCATGGCCCGCAGCTGGTATAGACTGACATTCTTCCCAGGGCAGGGCCGGGGCCCACTGGGCATGAGTCTGCAGCTTTCCTAACCCCTGGAGGATGGCTGGCTTTATGGCGAAAGCTTCTGATCAACAAACCCTGCCTTTCCCACACTGCAAATCCAGCCTCAGATCTCCCTGCTCTGGAGATCGTGGCTCTCAGACCAACCCAGGGTTTCCATGCAGGTATCTCCCCCACCCACCCTCATGATCTCTCCCCGGGTCTTTGGGCACGGCACATGAGTGGAAAAGCTCTCCTTGCCCACCCGCCTCCTGCCTGCCTCCTGTTTTAAGGAGTGTCTCTGTTGGGCTACATTAGGCAATGTGGGCACAGTGCCAGTCAGGCTGAGAAAGCCAGTCCACGTATAGACAAAGAGGGAGGGGAGAAAAGCAGCCCAGCTTCTGAACCATGTACAAACTGTCCCCCAAGGCACTAGTTGGCATCATTGTTCCTCTAAGAATGAGAACTCCTGGAAACCTGGGGAATGCATGTGGCACAGAGGTCCTGGAACAAGGGAGGGGACCACCCACCTTGTACCAGCCTGCTCCACCTGACCAGGGGGAGGGTCCCAATTGGTGTGACCACAGCGGGGGGGTCGGGGGCTGCTACAAAGCACACAAGATCTGTCCTTTTGGTGACAAGTACCCCAGGTGGTTCTCAAAAAGCCTGGTGTGGCCCTGGCCTGGTGGTGATGTGCTGAGAAAAGCAGGCTCCAGACCCACAAGTGTGGGGTGGGGCTAACCATGTACAAGCCATTGGCTTCCAAAGGGCAAAGGGCTCTGGGCCCTGGTGCCTGTTCTGAGCCCCTGCGTGGGTGGCACCCTCAGGGGGGATGCTCCTGGGCTGACTAATCTTATGGTCAAAGCTGGAGACAGGTCTCCATTGAGAGATGGTATGGGCAGTGGGAAGAGCTCTAGCTGGGCCCCTGACCTGCTGTGTGACCTCAGAGAAGTCACTTATTCTCTCAGGTCTGCTTCCCCATATGTAAAAGGAAAGAGGCAGGAGTGGATGACCTGTGGTATTCCAGGATTCAATGCCTCTTAGTACTTTTGAAAACTGGGATCCTAACCTCCTTTGCAGACCTACTAGCCCAGGGGTGAGGCATGAGAGAAGTTGGCAGAATCTAACTCGGAACTTCCTGCTCTTAACAGGAAATCATCTAGTTTTACACAGAGCCGTCTTCTGCCTCTTACCCCGCCCCCGTCACACCTCCCCATCTCCAGCTTGCCCGCTTTCCTTCAACACGCACACCACTGACATCCTAGGGGTGAAGGGCAGATGAAACTCCCAGTGTTCTGAGGGTGAGTTGACAGTGTCCAGCGGGTGTGACAACCCCCAAAGCCAGCAAGACCAAGGCTGCCTTGACTCCCCTGGCACTTGCCACACCTCACACAGATGGGCATTCACGTGCACTGGGCCCCTCCCTGTGGCCATCTACCATGTGCTGCTAGATGGCCAGTCCCCCCAGCAGCCTCGAAAGATGGGCATCTCATCTCCATGTTAGAAAGATGAAACAACATGTCCATGTCACCAAAGGAGGAAGGGAGAGGCAGCATTTAAGTCCAGCATGATTAAAACAATGATCTATGAAGGGCAGCTGAAAAAACTAGAGACCTTGTAGAAAAGGAAATTTAGAAGGTGCATGCCTTGGTTAGAGCACAGTGTTGTAACACCAAGGTCAAGGGTTCAAATCCCCATACAGGCCAGCCGCCAAAAGAAAAAAGATGTGTGCCAGCAGCCATTCAGTTCCTGGAGGACTGCAAGTTGGGAGAGGGGTGACCACATGTGAGACTAACTAGGGGCTAGCAAGAGGTCTGACCTTCTGCAATGGGGCAGGCTGCCTTAGCAGGGGGGGCCCCCCCACCATCAGAGGTGCTCAAGCAAAGGCCACAAGGCCAGACGGAGGGCAGCAAGCCAAGTACAGGGTAGGGTTTGATTAAATAATCTTCGAGGTGGTTCTAAGCCAGCTACACCAAGCCAGCAGCACCAGCAGTAACCGGATTCACTATAGCAGAGGACACCACCAGCCCAGCTGAGAACAGGGATGGGACAGCAATAATTAAAGCCAAAGGTCTGGCACAAGCCCTGGCCACCTATCCCCGCCATACCACTGGATTAGAGCAACAGCCTTGGTCACCAGTTCAGGCTGGGTTGGCACAAGGCTGTCCCCGGTCCCTCTCTATAGAGGGACTGGCTCCCTTGTGCCCACAGGAGAGGTGGAAGAGGAAAGAAGCTTCAATGCAGGAGAGGCCCCACTCACAGCTGGAGCTATGCCTTGGGTCTCTGGGGCATCCCTAGATAGGAAGAGGCTTTCCTGGGGAAGGGGTGGGAGAGGACTCTCCTGGTCAGGCCAGAAGAGCTGACTGGCCAAACAGCCCTTGGACTCCTGATCCCGTTCTGAAAGACAGGATCCCCTGGCCAACACCGAGGGACACAGTGCCACCTCTTCCTTCTCAAAGGAGAACAACGTACAAGTGAAAAACTGGGACAGCAAAAGAGGTGGGGCATCCCAGGGGACTAGCATAGTATCCGCAGCAGGACAGGACCACCCTAACTCACCCAACAGTTTCACCTGTGGCTGACCCTGACTAGAAGCCCCTACGAACATGCTCTTGGAGAACCTGACCCTCCTGCCCCCACACATGATGAAAAGCAAGAGCACCAGGCTGTACTCCTGAAGCCAGGCTCCCACCCCAAGGGGATCCACAGGAGGCACCCAAGTCCTGAATGACCCAGAGGCCAGCAGGGGAGCTGTGCCAGTCCAGGGCACTCTGGCAAAACCTAGGAGTGGTGTCTTGAGACAAAGGAACGCAACAGCAAAGTCACCCCACCTCACAGTTGGAAACCCTCACCAGCCTGGCCTTGGCTGGCAGATCCCTGCAGGGTTCAGCTCTGCCAAGTGGCCCCTGAAGCAGGCCCTCAGTCTCACTCACACTGGGCAGTGTCAGCTCGGTGGGGCTGAGGGCCACCACTGAGCGGATGGGCCCCACTGACTCCCTTCCTCCCTCGTGAGCCACCAGGGGTACAGTGGGTGTGACCTGACAAACCCGTTCTGCGGGCTGCGGGCGGGTGAGAGGGTGGGTGCCCTGGTGCTGCCAGGCGTGTAGAGCCAGCCCTGTGGAGACTCAGGTGTTCTCTCTGCCTCCGCACAGTCCAGCGGGGACCCCGGCAGGAAGCCAGTGCAGCATGGCAGCCACCAACTTTGTGCAGGAGATGAGTGCCGTGGGTGAGAGGCTGCTGCTCAAGCTGCAGAGACTGCTCCAGGCTGAGCCCGTGGAGATCGTGGCCTTCTCAGTCATCCTCCTCTTTGCAGGTCAGCTGGGGGGGGGCATTCAGGTTCTCCTCAGTGCCCATGGCTCTTGCAGGAGAGATGGGACCATGGTGCTAGCTGGAGACCAACTTTGTGCAGGAGATGAGTGCCGTGGGTGAGAGGCTGCTGCTCAAGCTGCAGAGACTGCCCCAGGCTGAGCCCGTGGAGATCGTGGCCTTCTCAGTCATCCTCCTCTTTGCAGGTCAGCTGGGGGGGGCACTCAGGTTCTCCTCAGTGCCCATGGCTCTTGCAGGAGAGATGGGACCATGGTGCTAGCTGGAGGGCTGGTGCAGGTGGCGGGTGTTCCTCAGATCAAGGAGGAGAAGCTATTGTCCCTCGGAGGAGGCCAAAAGATTTCCCCATATCCTCTGCCATGCTGCTCCAGTCCTGGGCAGTGCTGGGAGTGGGGCCCAGTGCCACCCCCAGATCTCAGTCCAGGGGTAAAGGGAGCCAAGCTTGGGCAGCAGAGGAGGAAACACAACAGGGAGGAGCCGGGTGGCACAGGGTGGTCAACACCTCTCGGCAGACTCTCAGGTCTTTCTGACCCCTAAACCAGACCTTTGCATTAGGCCCTAGCACACCTGCAGAGGGGCTGCTTTGGAAGGAGGGTAGGCATACTCTCTCCCCCTCTGAGGTCCCTGTGCTCTCTCCCGTCCTCCAGCCACTGTTCTGCTGCTGCTGCTGATAGCCTGCAGTTGCTGCTGCACTCGCTGCTGCTGCCCTGAGCGGAGAGGCAGGAAGGTCCAAGTGCAGCCCATGACCCCACCATGAGGGACACTGAGGTGGCCGAGGAGAAGCTGCAGAGGAGACTGCCAGAGCCATGACACAGGCTATCAGCCTGGCCCTGCCCAGGCACCTGGACACTGATGCTGGAGCTTTATCAAGGAAACAAGGGCTGGCATGGGCACAGAGCTCTCATCTGCCAGTGGACCCTGGGTGCCGAGGACGGGCTGACTGTTTCAAAGACTGAGTAAACCACCTGCGATTCTTCGCCTACCTGCACTTTTTAACAAACAAGGAAGCAGAGGGCCCTATACCTTGATGGAGAACAGCCCCCACCTGTGGGGAGCTGGCCCTTGGGGCTCTGCTGATCCACACGCCACAGAGGAGCAAGCCAATCAGAGGGGCTTTGTGCAATAGCTACTGGACCCCACGCTCCCGCCAGAGCGGGAACATGTCAGTATTCTAGTCCAGCGTTTGCCTGTTTATTTCCAAGTAAAAGCTTTTTGGCTATGGGTTTCTGTGGCGCCAGACTCCCTGAGGTTGGGCTGGGCTCTGTGCTGCATAAGGAGGGCGGAGTGCCAGAATTCCAGGGGCGTGGCCAATGACCATCCTTTCCAGGCTTCTGGTCTCCCTGTGCCCACGAAAGCTGGAAAAACATGCCAGGAGGAGTGCCATACGGGCGGTAATGCCATGGGACCAGTGGAGGGTGCAGTGAAATTCCTGTTGGACATTAGCTATTAACAAGCTCTGGATTCCTGATGCCCACCCTGCAGAGGGAAGGAGGCTAGGCTCAAGGAGGCCACAGCACTTTCCACAGCCAGTGACTTTTGTCTGCAGATCCCACACTAGCAGTCTCAGGCCACTGGGTCTTCCCAAACTTCTGGAGTAACAGAGGAGAGGCTAAGCCTCTAGTGTGGTTTGTAACCTGCATCCTCATCCCTCACCCTTTCCCTTTTGTGTGCTGACTGTCGGGGCTCACACCCTCACCTGCCACTTGCCAGCTGTGTGACTCAACCTCCCCAAGTCATGTCTCCTCCCTGGTAAAATGGGGCTAATCCTGGTACCTGCTTCTTGGGGTGTGCCGTGGGGATAAACTAGCACTTAGCACAGTGCTGGGCATATCCTGAACCATCATTATTTGCTCCTACAAACAACGGACCAACCCAGAACAACATGGACCCATTTTAAAGAATGGTTCTGCTAAAATGCAACACCCTTCCAGCCTCCCTCCCTTCAGTTTACTCTCTCTTCCAGAGAACTTTCCACGTAGAGCTACAAATCCAGGAATGAGAACGGGGAGGCACGGGCTCCGTAAATGCCAATGGGGCTGGGACGGAGCAGCCTGTGGTACTTCCCCACTGGGTCCCCAGAGCCATCAAGAAGTCCGTACTTTTCATATGCTTCCATCATCTTGGCCAGGTGGCCCATTCTCTGGCTGCCTGGGAGCACACCCTTGTCTATCTGGAAACAGGTGATGGAGAGGGGATGCCAGCCCCTGCCACCTCCAGCTGGCAATCCAGGCCACACTAGTGGGGCAGGCAGGGCAGGAGAAGCTCTCACTGACTGGTTTCACTTCCTGGTGTCCATGGACTTGTCTGACAGGTTTGGGATGAAGACCCAGAAGTGTTTCCATACAAAAGAAAATAAATTCAAGAATCTGTCTGTCCTGGGGGTCGGGGGATGGGGGAGTCTTCCACCCCTACACAGAAAGAGATTCAGAATAATAATAGTAACAACATGATGACCACAACAATGATAAAAATAGCTAAGATTCACTGAGGGCTTGTACTGGCTCAGGTATTTTGATGCAGATAAATTTATTTAATTATCACAATACCTCAATGCAGTAGATACCATTATTATTCCCATTTTAGAGATGAGGAAACTGAGCCTTATGAGGGTGCTGGGTGATTTGTCTATATTCAGCCAGCTAAAAAGTGGCAGAGCCTGTCTCTGAGTCCAGACTGTCTGGCTCCAGAGGCTCTGCTCACCATGCCCTGGTGCAGGACAGATAAGGTTCTGATTCCCTTATCCTCCATCAACAAACCGAAACACCCACACCCCAAACTTAGTCTCAAAATAGCTTACGTGGGAGTGGGTGGGACCTGACAGGTAAGAGCTGGGGTGTGGCCTGATTAGGCGTCCCTCCCAGAAGAAAAACACTGGGAGGGCAAGGAAGTCCTGCATTTTTTACTCCTGGCACAATAGGCTGGAAGGCCCTTGGAAGCCCCCTGTTCAGGAGATGCCCCAACGGTGAAGCAGCCTGATTCTCATGTGACTTTTCCTTAAGCAAGTTTTCATCAGCATCAAGAGTGGCCCTGTTTGGGAGTGGCTGAGGCTGAGACTGCTAGAAAAGATTCTGGTTGCCTGGTTCAGCTGCTGAGAGGTGGGGACTGTGGCCAGTTCATCTGCACCCTCCTGTTCCACGCCAGGCAGCACATAACTGCTGAGTCCACAAAAGATGATGTCCCTTCCCTCAGAGGACGTGCTCCTCCCTGCTCCATGGCAAACGGGCACATGCTGGCTCCCCCAGCAGTCAGGCCAAGAAGTTCTGCACAGGCTTCAATCCCACTCAGATAATAAATTAGATCTGCTGTAGCATGACAGCAGCCTGGCAAACTCCCAGAACGGGCAGCTCCTAGTGTGGGCTTCCTCTAGGGAAGACAGGCCTGGAGAGGTGGCAGCAGTTCCCTCACTGTGGGAAAGACGCTACAAACCTGGGCTGCTTGAAGATGGGTGGGAGCCATGGAAAGGGCGGCAACCAGGCTGTTTCAGATCTAGGGAACGTCTGACTCTCTGTTCCTGCTGCCATGCCAACCTGGACCAAGCGAACACCAGTGCTTGCCTAAGGTCACTGCAGGAGCGTCCTAAGGGGTCTCCACAATGATCTCACCAGCCTCTTCCTGTTCCCCCCACCCCCCTGCACCATACAGTGGTCTGCTCTTGGTTCCTCAAAAGGGCTTCCCTCCACACTGAAGATCTGTGTGTTTACTGTCTACACATTATGCCTTATTAAAATCTACAATACCAGCCAGTCTCTAAAAATAAAATAAAATAATATCTACAATAAAGCCACCAATGCAAGAATCTCATTAGCAAAACTTGGCAGGGAATATACAAAACAATTTTCTCCTAAATCTGTTTCCTCAAAAACTAACATTTTAAAGCAATCTACAAGAAAAATTTTCATAATGACATATTTGCTTCTGGGTAATACAAATTCCAGATCATAAAAAACTGAGGACAATTAATTATGTCCTTAAAAAAAAGCTTCCTCACTCTCTTTACGACCTGTTCCCTACCATGGTTCTGGCCCCTTTGTCCTCCTGTCTCACTTAAACGTTACTTCCTTACAGAGGAGTCTCCTCAGCCCCAGCCCAGGTTATGTCACTGTACCAACAGCACCCTTTACCTCTCCCCATCATATCCTTCTCTTCTGAGTGATCATTACAGTGGAATTATCTGAGAGGGGCCAGCAGTTAATTGAAAAAGCCAGTGAAAGCAACTTTTGTGTATGTGACACATAGGTTCTCTATTTTAAATTGAAGCGTATACACGCACATTCCTTGGCCACAATCTTTTTCGTGTAAGGCCAGGGTCTTTTCTGAGTGATGGCTTGCTGACCAGAGTTTCTACATTGTCTATTTTGTAGTTTTAGTTTCTTTAAAGCAAAACAAGATCTTAAGGACATTTACAAAGAAATCTGAGTGTGAAATCCTGGATTTTTACAAAATGCACAGTGTTTAGTTACTGTGTCCACGTTTTTTTTTTCTTTTTTTTTTTGTATTTTTTCGTGTCCGGCAACGGATCGCAACCCTCAGTGTCGTGCCCGTACCGGACCAGGACCGGCAACGGGATCGCAACCCTCGGTGTTGCGCCCGCACCTCGCTCAGCCAGTGAGCGGGAACCGGTCTGTATGTGGGATCCGAACCCTCGGCGGGAGCGCCGCCGCACTCCCAAGCGGCGCACTGTAGCAGTGTGCCACCGGGCCGGCCCAATCCACATGTCTTTTGACAGGAATATTATTTGAGTGATACCAAAGTCATTCCAAAGTGGTCAGGTACGTATTTATAGAAACAACTTCCTATCTCCACTCACTCTGAGGGACAGCACAGTGCTTCAAGGCTCAGACAGCGAACACTGGTTTCCAACCCCAACTCAGTTACTGACTAGCTACATGACCTTGAGTAAGTTTCTTAACCTCTCTGTGCCTGTTTAAACTGGGGTTTCAGCTATTATTGTGTCTTCATTTGTTTATGTGATGTTAAATTCAGTGATGTAATTACAACAACAAGTATGACTGCCATAAGCAGGTTTGGGAACAAACAAGTGACTCTTGATAAGCACCCAACCTAACTGGCAGAGCAGAAGTGCTAGAGACCAGCCTACCAGCTGTGAGCATTCAGCAGGCCGATGGTATTACTCAGCGTGTTTTACACAAGGATATGCAGCATCAGCTAACCTGGGGTCAGTGAAGCCCATGACAGTTAAGAACGGCTTTACTGAACTTGCTCATCTTTGTCATCTGACCCTTGCCTACACCTGGGAAGGTTTAAAACAACCCGGATGCCCTGACATCCCCAGAGACTGATGTAAGTGATAGGAGGTGGGGCTGAGCATTTCTAAAAGCTCCTAGATGATTCTAACAAGCAGGATTGAGGACTGGTGGGCTAGGAGGTAAGCTCTTGGAAGGCAGGGCCTAGCACCCATCTCACAACTGGACATGCAGGCCCTCACATCCTAGCTTTGAAAGGAGTGAATGGTGGCCCCTGGTTTCAAGCACCTGGACACAGGCTTTATTCCCTCTTCCTGGCTTCCCCATCACACCAGTGGGGAGGAACCAAGCATGCAAGTAGCTGAGACCGTGCCTGAGAGGCAGACAGAGGCTGCAAGGGAGAAGTTGGGTTTCGTGGAGATAAAGCTTCCACCCAGAAACTAGTTTCAGGAGGTGCCAGACAGACCTGTAGTTAATCATTCACAAGCACCACATAAAATGACGCCTCTGCGGCAGTCCCAGCCCCAGGGCTTCCCCAGCTCTGGGCGGGTCCTCTCAGTCACAGGTCACCTAGAGAAACTAGTTTCAGGAGGTGCCAGACAGACCTGTAGTTAATCATTCACAAGCACCACAGAAAATGACGCCTCTGCAGCAGTCCCAGCCCCAGGGCTTCCCCAGCTCTGGGCGGGTCCTCTCAGTCACAGGTCACCTAGACAGAGAGGAGAACCAAGGCCCAGCCACAGGGAGGTGCATGGGTGGCCTGGGGCAGAGGCTCTTTCCCCACCCCACCACAAGGCTTACTGCTCTCAGGGAGGACTCCTTAACTCATACACCCTGAGTGCCCTCAAAATGACATCACAAAAGGGCAGAATGCAGCTAAGGGGGGAAGTATGAAAGGCAGACGGGGAGAGGGGGTTGCTAGTACTGCTCTCAGGGAGGACTCCTTAACTCATACACCCTGAGTGCCCTCAAAATGACATCACAAAGGGCAGAATGCAGCTAAGGGGGGAAGTATGAAAGGCAGACGGGGAGAGGGGGTTGCTAGGCAACTGGCTCCAGCCCACCTTTGTTTGCTTTGGTGACAGCAGTGAAGGTCTGGTCAGAGCCACTTGGCAACGTTAACACCTTTTCCTCTCAATAGTTGCTTCTTTGAGTCAGGGTGCAGCTCTGGTCATCTGGTGGCCTCTTCAGCTCAGACCCCCAAGTGTGCGGCCTGAAGGATTACCCTGAATTGCTCTGGTAGGACACTGGACTGCTAGCAGCAGAATCAGGTAATGACTGCTTCCTTCTTCACCCAAGCGCCCTTCAACTGGCCAAAGGCTGCTGATATTAACTCCATTTCAAGAAGATTAGTTAGTCCCTCTGTGTTCAGCTGCCTCAAGGAAGTTTACTCAGGCCTCAGATGGATTAGGTCCACTCTTCAGCTCTTATACTGACTTTTCAAAATGCCTCCCAAATGTTTGGCAATTGGGGTGAGAATAGAGAGAATCTATAGTGGTGCTTTTTAGATTGTAGCTGAGTAGGTCTAAGGGGTAGGAGAGAAAGTCCTTGCTCACACCAGGGCTATTCAGGAAAGAAGGAATGGAGAATCCAGAGGCAGCCTTCAGGAAGACTCCAGGGGCCCCCTCTCTTTGTGCCAGTCCTCACTCCTGCTTCTGTACAGAAGGAAACTCCATTTGTTGCTTGTTGGAGCATCGAGCCCAAAGACTCACCATCCCTTCAGTGTCCACTAGCCGCAGAGCTGGCCAGCTGTTCACTGAGATTGCTGCAGAGGTGGAAGTTGGGGGAGTGAAGAATAGCACCTAGGCTAGGGCTTGGAAAGCCCCCTGCACTCAGGACCTCTGTCCCCTTTTCCAGGTTCACATGGACCAATTAATCAACGAGAAGATCTGGAATGATGAGTTCTGGCAGAACCCCTGGGAGAAGTGGGGCCTGGTAGTGATCGGCTTATTCATCACCACAGTTGTGTCATTCATCTTGTTTGCTGTTGTGTTTGGTTTACTCCCTCTGCAGGAGAGGATCCAGTGTGAAGAGGAATGATCTGACTATCGGGGGGCTGAGAAGGCAGCGGGTGTTAGGGGGTGAGGGGGGTGGTCTGAGACCGATTCTGGACACCCCCACCCTGCTGCTGCCACAACCCTGAGCACATGGAGAGGGCCTCTCCACTTCCTCAGGTGAGAGGAGCGATGGCTAACAAGGTCCTCTAATAGGCTCACAGGCTCAGCCAGCAACTTTGGAGATGCTTGGCAGAGGACACAAAACAACAACAACCAGATGAAATAAAAATTCCTTTTCAAATTTGCTAACTTGTGAGAGCTCATTTTCTATCTAGACGTGGTCACCAGAGCGAGCTTCCTTATCAAAGCCTCACTGCAAATCCCCACCTGGCCTGGCCCTGCCTGTCTCTCCAGCCATCCCACACATGCCCCTGGGTTCTTGGCATATCTTTCAGTTGTTGAATATACTGTGTTTTCTCCTACAACAGGGCCTTTGCACATGCTATTCCTGTCCCCTGGGACACTCTCCTTCATACCACACCTCACTCCTCAGCCTAGTTTGTGTTTTCTCATCCTTCAGATCTTAGTCTACACCTGACCTCCTCAGGCAAACCTTCCCTGACCCTCTGGGACTGGGGGAGGGCAACCTGTCATATACTCTCAAAACACCATGTACCTTTTCATCAAAGCCCTTTTACCAGGAAGTATGTTTTTTAATGGGATTATCTGATGAGTGCCTGTCTTCTCCATTGGACCAAGCACCATAAAAGCAGGGGATGGGTCTTCTTCTGCTTGCCATTGTATCCACCCGTGTCCAATGTGCCTGGCACAGAGTTGGCATCAACCAACGAATACTGGTTGGAATAAATGAGCAAGTGAGTAAATAAGTAAATAGGAGGGTGCTGGGCTGCTGGGCTCTCTCAGCCCAGAGATCTCAGGAGACAATAGAGCTCAGTTCACTCCAGGCCTAAACATAAAGCTGTTCTTCCATTTCAAAGTACCAGGCATCCAGGACAGAGATTGCTTCAAACCTAACAACTGTTCCCTGTGACACTAAAAGATAAAAAGCCTTATCATGAATCAAACACTGATTTTCATGGCTGTAGCCCAGAGAAAGTAGTTACATGCACAGAAAAGAGGAAAACCACAGGCTGCCCCACCCTGGCATGATCTGAGTATCATTTCTGTTGGTCCCAGAGCCCCCCACACCAATCCCTCTGGTCCCATTCCCACACGCCCCAGACCCTAGAGCAGCTTCTCTTGTAGAAATGTACCCATCTCTGCCGAACTCACCCCACTGGCTCTGTCCCTCACTGCCGAATGCCCACCCTGAGGGATTGCTGGTGGAACAGCTGTTTCAACCTCAACCTCAAACTAGAACTATTCTTTAAAAAGGAGCAAATATGTAGAGGGAAGGGACTTTCTCTTCATGCTATAAGCCTGAGAGCCCTGGAATCCAGAACCTTCACACACAGCAAACAAGACAGGAGGCATGAGGCTGCCCATGGGGCAGTGAGAGCCATTATCTGGACTTCCTGGGCCCACAGATGCTGGGGACCCTGCTCTAACCAGTTCACTGATGCACTAAGAAGTCCCAGCTCCCTGGAACGAGATGGAAAAAATAAAGGAAGAGACCCATAGTAGGACCTGTCCCCTTGCTGGCAGGCTGAGCAGCCTCTGGGGATACGGCAGAGCCAACCCTCCAGAGCGTCAGACTCAGGCCCAGACAAGAAACAGCCAGGGTTTTTTCCAGCAGAGGAGACTCTGACAATTAGCAAGGACACTTGGCCCTTTCATTCCTCACTAGAAATGACAGCTCTGCTCAGGGGCCTACGGTGGCTGAATTTAGCAGCTCCCCATATTAGTGTCTGAAAAGGGCTCTCTGGTCATAATGGCTGTAGGCAAAGGTGGTCCTGGCACTACAGCCAATCACTTCTGCTGGGTGTGGTCTTGCCACAGAGGCCAAATTAGAGATGGCCATTTAGAGAAGGAAACAGCTCAATCCAGGAGCCACCAACACATTGGTGAATAGGAGGGAGCTGGGAATCAAAATACACTGCCCAAGTAAGTGCCTCTCTGGTTTCTAGCAGAGAGCCCAAGAAGTCTGCTACGTACCAGTACTAGGTACTTACTCAGCTTCAAGACTCTAGTCTTGCAAAAACCAAGGTGGCAGGTGTGTATGAAAATGAGCACTCCACTGAAAATCAGGAGACCCAGGTTTAGTGGATTCTGTCTGCAGGGAGTTCTGTGACTGTGACCTCTCTGGACCTCAGTTTATTCATCTCTAAGTCTGAAGTAATCACTTCTGCCTCCTCTCCTCACAGGACTGTTCCATGAGATTGGATGAATCCAAGAGCTTTTTAGATCAAAGTGTAAAGAATCCTCCTGGTGTCCCTCGTACAGGTACCCAGCCACACCCTGACATCACTGAACAGCTATCAGTCTCTTTCTATGGCCCCTGCCCCATCGCCAGCAAATGCAGATAAAATGGATAAGTGGGTTCCACCTGGGCAGGCTAGCATTCTTTTTAAAAAGTCTATATCTCTCAAAGCACATGACCACCCCACAAGAGATAAGCTGTGTCATGTGCTTCTGTTTGGGACTTGAATAAGAGTGAATACTACTCAAGTAAGGCCAGAAGTCCCAGATCAGTGGCACATGGTGACCACAATGCCAATGGCTCAGAACTGGTCACATTACTCGGGACTGAGTTGCTCATGGGGCCAGTCATCCCAGAAGGGGCTGGAGTAGGCGGATGGATGACCACCCCAAATGCTGGACAAATCCTTACATTGCCAGTTTCTGGGGCCTCCAAAAGAGAAAAGGAAGGGTCCGAACTTCCATACTGCCTGACGCAACTGCCTTCACAGGCAGGGGTCCCTTGGTGGCCCAAGGGTTGTCTCATGCTAGCTGGTTAACTAGTGGGTGCTGGGGAAGAAACGATCTTACTGACACTTTGCTCCACATACAAAATAAGTCATTTACCCCAATTCTTCACAGAAGGTCACCAGGGCATCGAAGGCCAAGAGAGCGGCTTTATCAGATGCTTTGTTCCCTCTCTTTTCCTAGAAACAAAAAACAACCACTTAGCAAGTCGTACAGAATTGGAGTACCTTGTAGCCACAAAAAAGTAATGGGGGAGAAAAATATTAAATGATAGTAATAAGGCCATTTACAAAATAGCCCCGAACCTGACTATAGATCAGAACCCCCCAGACTACTGAATCAAACTTTCTGAGACTGGAGCTTTTGAAAGTTTAGATTTCCAAAAAGCTTCTCAGGTGATTTTCATGCAAAGGGCCCACGGACAGGCATTTGGGAAACACTGTATAATATGATCTAAGTTAATAATAGTACATGGGCCGGCCTGGTGGCGCACTGCTCCAGTGCGCCGCTTGGGAAGCGTGGCAGGCGCTCCCGCCGAGGGTTCGGATCTCACATACAGACTGGTTCCCACTCACTGGCTGGGCGAGGTGCGGGCGCAGCACTGAGGGTTGCGATCCTGTTGCCGGTCCCGGTCCGGTATGGGCGCGACACTGAGGGGTG